AACTATCACCGCTGAGCTCCCGATGACGGTATATCTTTAGACCATTGTGTCTGCCGTCTGACTGAAAGAATTGGCAAATGTCTTGAGATATCGTCTCTGAAACGGCTATTATTAACAGTAAAATAATAGCAAACATTTTATTAGAGTTTTTATTTTTTAAATAAATGCAAACGTAATGTCATTGTAAGAGAAAACAACAAAAAACTAAATCTCATTATAAAATAAATGATATTTTTTAATCAATTCTAAATTATGTATTGATTTGAATGTAAATAATACTGAATTTCTCGAGCGTTTTGTTAAATAATAGGATTGAAATACAACTTACAGTTTTATAAGTAAAGTTATACTGTGTAAACACAACTTTTAATTATAAATTAATGTTTTATATTTTAGCAATAATAAATTATAATTTGATGAGATTTATCGCACATTGTATACCGAGTTAAGCCAAACAATACTGAAATCATTTGCGAAAGTGATAGTAAAAAGGTCTTATGGCAAGGGATCGGCGGTCAGCACTTGTTTTTAATGCAAGTATTTATTAAACCCATTTTGGGCAACATTTACTTCAATTATTTTTAGTTTGTCATTAAATGCAATCATATTTATTAAAATATAATCATGTAGCTTTTATGTGTGTGAGAGAGAGACTAAGGAATTATGCATTTATCTTATTGTTAACAAGTGAATTAATTATTTTTCTAATGGTATTTTATGATCATTTTGTTTAAAGAGTATTTATTTAGAATAACCAATATATAAATTGCAATATCTATTAATAAGACAATGTAAAATTACAATAATTTCAATTAAATTAAAGTATTGCAATTATTATTATTTATTTCACTCTAATTTCGCACACATTTCGCAAATAACTGACTGATTGAGAGCACCAGACGTTTTGCATAACAATTAATTAATTTGCTTACAATTAATTACAATAAATTAAACACAAATTACAACACAATACAAATAATTAAAACAATGCAAGATATGATGTTTATAAAAAGCATCGCATTTACCAAACAATTAATACTTTCAAACAAAATACTGGGAGAGAAAAACCATAATAATAATGATTGCTATTAAGTTAACACTCGTTATACTTATGGCAACCGCTGCTATGGTTATGGCCAACGACGACGAGGAGCAGGGGTACGGCGATTACGGCGGACGGCACCGGTACCCCTACCCACCCGTTTACCCGGGTTACCCGAGTTACCCAATATACGTACCGGCGGGACCACCGCGACCCGCTCCGACCCGATGGCCACCGGCAACCGCACCCACCAGACCGCCCACCGCCACACCGCCGACACCATCGCCCCCGTCGTGCGCCGGCCAGTGCTGGAACTGTGAGTGCGATTGTGACAATCAGCCCCCGGAACAGTGCCCCATATGTCCCCACACGGGCCACCATAAGCAGAGTCATCATAAGGACAAACGACAAGTGGTGGGCAATTGCTTTTCGCTGGTCGCCGCGCAGACCAACTCCTCCACCGGCGAGCTGTTAGGCACACTAGTGGGCACATTGCTCAGCAATTTGGCATACATTTTGGCCACAGTATTGACAGGTAATAATAGTCTGGAGGGTGCGGTACTACCGCTGGGCAACACCCTGTGCTATGTGGTGGGCACGTTGTTGAACACACTGAAAAGTCTTGGCTTACTGGGTCTGTTGGGTATGAACGGCCTGTTGGATTTGATTTTGGGCGGTGGACTCGGATAATCTAGCTGATTGCAAAAAAGGGCTTGACTAAATGGACCTGGCTCTCTTGTTAATGATTGGGATTTTAATTGTTTGTCCTATTTATGTAAAATGTATTTTATTTGTGTATGTTTTTAATGGGAATTATCAAGGTTTTTATTATTAGCACTAATAAGTAATTTGTTATATTTTGCGAATAAAATGATTGGGATAAATGTTTATTTTTATTATTTATAATTTAGATTGAATTGCAAATTAACTTTATAATTGCAATTTAAAACAAAAACTCATAAAATAAATAATTAAATTAATTAATACATTTAGAAAAACAAAGTAAAGAAAAGAAGAGAGGTGAGGATGCTTTAATTATCACAATACTGAATAAAAATAAATAAATGTAATAAAAAAGTTAATTTGTTATTTAAAACATGCTATTATATTTTTAAAAATGTTAATATCGAGCACATGTGATAAAATGAATGCATATCATATACACTAGCATTAATTAACAATTAATAAACTAATTACTAAATTAATTGTTTTATTAAATTACAAATAATCAACAAAAATTAACTAAAGAATCAACATTAATTCAATAATAATACAATAAAATTAGACCACAAGTTGTTATTTAAATGATACGTGTCTTACCTTTCAATTAAAAACAATGATTATTGTTTGACAAAACAAATTGATTATTATTTTTAATTATAAATTAAATTATTAATAATACAATAAAATTAGACCACAAGTTGTTATTTAAATGATACGTGTCTTACCTTTCAATTAAAAACAATGATTATTGTTTGACAAAACAAATTGATTATTATTTTTAATTATAAATTAAATTATTAATAATAACACAATTAAAAAACTATAAATACCAATAAAGCTCAAACTGGGAAACAACACTTTCCAAAACAAGTAATTAACCAATCACTTTTTTTTACATCAGTAAACCAACCACGATGTTCATCAAATCGCTAATCCTATGCGCTGTCGTACTGGTGGTGAGCGCCCGGGCATCACAACTGGCCAAACGGGACACATCGGGCACCTGTCCTAACGGCGGCTGTTCGTGCACCTGTAACTGCGGTGGAGGTGGGGGCCGATGCCCACCCTGTCCGTCATCAGGCGGTTGGCACGGGAACACCACCACAGCGCCCACCTCTGCGCCCCCGTCATCGGCCGACTGTTTCGCGCAGATCCAAGCGGCCAGCACTCTGTCCACCGGTCAGGTGTTGGGCCTATTGTTGACCACTTTGCTAAGCAATTTGGTTACACCTATACTACAGACTGTGTTGGCCGGCAATAACACGGTGGAGAATGCGGTTATACCACTGGCCAATATACTTTGCTATATTGTGGGCCTGTTGTTGCTTACCCTGAGAAGTCTGGGACTGTTGGGTTTGTTGGGCATGAATGGCCTGTTGGATAATATTCTGGGTGGTCTTGGTGGTATTGGTCGTTAGTTGATGTTGGTTAGTTTGGCTTTAAATTGTTATTTGTCCTGTTTGTATTTTAACTGTATGTTATTATCCCAATCATTATATTCAACAAGTTATTTATGTTTATGTTTTATTTACTTTTTTATTAAATAAATTATTGCAAAATGAAATTCTAATTTATTATTTAAGTTTTAACTAAAAATTTAAGGTTTATTTTTGAACACTAGATCATTAATATGTTTTATTAATTGAGTACTAACTGAATTGACTTAATCGTATGCATTTTTAAAATAATAAATTTCTACATGGCGTTTAAAGTGTAGTACTATTTATAACTTATAAATCTCTACTTTAAAACATTTTCATAAATTTTATATTTTGTTTAACTTCAGTTTAAAATTATTTTGTTGTATGTATTTGGACTGGTCTTTGTCCTAACACTCGGTGCCCTTGAGTTGTCTATGGGCTCACCGGTGGACGAGTTGATGGTATTAATAGTGGCCGATCTCGTGGTCCCGACTCCCGATCTATTACTATCGACAACCTCTCCATCGCTAACAGTGTTTAACATTAAACCAGTATTTCGGGTGTCTTTTCATAAGTAATTGAAATTAATAATGATTTAAAAGGATAGTCGGCGGCCGACCCTCTCCTCAGCCGTCGAGCGCTTAAATGCTTTGCAATTCATTTATAAATAACGACAAAATTATTTGATATTTTATTATTTTCATTTAATTGAAGCAAAACTTTTAAATTACTATTAAAAACAAAATAGAAAATACTACGAAATTAAATATATTTATGAAAACATTTTGTTGTAATTGTAATGAAAACTGTGAACACTTGAATTTATTCATTGCTTAGCCATCGATGGCTGAGAATGGCATCGATTTTCAGTCGAAGATTGATATCCGGTTCCAGTGTTTTGCGAATCAGATCTTTGCAATCAGTGGATGTGTTGGCATTGAATCTCGTCTCAAACGTTTTGTCTCTCTGTTGTATGTCTTGATGGTAAATACTGAAGGGAAGCCTAGCAGTGGTCATCGCAAAGAGTATCACTCCCAGAGACCAACAGTCGTTGGCCATCATGTCGTAGTCAGCGCCGGACAAGAGTTCGGGTGAAGAGTAATGACGAGTCCTCAATTGTGTGCCGGACAACAGGCCATTTGTTTGATAGTCATATGTGGTCAGAGTAAACCCAAAGTCGGCCACTTTGGCGACAGTGCCGTCATCAAACATGACCACATTCTCGCACTTGAGGTCCAGGTGCGCCCACCCCTGGCTATGGATGTATTGAACAGCTTTGCATATGTGTGTGAAGAGACCCTTAGCTGTGTTGTCGTCCATACCATTGGTGGGAATGGCGTCCAAGAGGTCTCCGCTGTCAGCGAATTGCATGCAAATGAACACTTTGTTCACAACAGGAATCACGTGATGTGTTTTGACTATGAATTGGTGTTTGAGTTGAAACAAAGCGTTCAATTCGTGGGGCAAATATCTATCACTATAGCCGTCATAAACTGTCTTCATATCAATCACTTTCACCGCTCGACTGGTCTCTGAATTCACTGAATAGTAACGACTCTTGAAGACTGATCCGAAAGATCCACAACTCAACGGTTTCTTCTCTAAAACATAACCCCATTGTTTGAGTTTACGTTTATCCCAATCACTCAATTTAATGTCCATTTGTCTCGCTTATTGTCACTAATTTATTGAATCAAATGTTGTTTTGGTTTAATGTCTTTAGAAATTAACAAAAGATTTGATTTACAATTAATTTACTGGTTTTAAACTAATTTCAAATTTGAAATTATTTTCAACAATAGTAATCGTTTCGAGCGATAATGAAGTCTGAAATTTATTATTGATATTATCGTTCACGTGTTGACCCGTATAGTCCATCAACTCATTCTTGTGTCCAATCCATGTGTACACTCGGGTCTGTCTTTGGTGGACACCGTTTCCCGCGAGTGTCTGTTGTATAACAAACAGTGTTTGCCTTCAATACGGGGGTAAAACAGCAAATATAAAATTTTTATTTTGTTTAATATTAGTTATATTTTGTATTCTATATATTAATTTAATTCTTACAAAGAGACTAAATATATAATAAAAAACATTAGTTTACTGTTTAGTTTTGTAAACAAATTTAAAGGCAATTCAAACACGAGTTTTAGTAATTAATTTAGTACTTCTGTTATAATTAATAAAGTGTTAATAAAGTCTTATATTGTAATTATAGATATATTTGCAACGATTGATTGCATTGTTATAAAACATTAGTTCAAATGCAGTATTTAATGTTTGGCTAAAAGTTTGTCATTATTTACACAATTATATCACAAATCCATTTATGGGCGAGTATTTCGCGAATGGTTAGCCGAGCGCTGACTTTCGGTTCGAGTATCTTCTGGATCAGGTCTTTGCAGTCATCATTAGTGATGCGATTCTTTGGGTACCTCTTTGTCATTTGTCTGCGCCTCTGATGTCTCAAAGGGAAGGGAGTCTTACGGGTGGTCATCACGTATAGGACAACTCCGAGAGACCAGCAGTCGCTGGGCTTTGGCTTAAAAGGATTATTACTTAACAACTCAGGGGAAACGTACTCTTGAGTCCCGCAAGTGGTCGCCACCAAAACACTTTGACCGGTGGGCGGCAGATATGAGGTGCGGGCGAACCCAAAGTCAGTCAATTTGGCCACTTTCTGGTCATCAAATAGCAAAACGTTGTCACACTTGAGGTCGCGGTGAACAACGCCCTCATTATGGATGTATTTCAGTCCTTCGGCCACTTGTCTGAAGATAACGCGGGCTTTACTGTCATCGACGGGACGCTTGAGTTTGTCGATCATGTCCTGGAGGTCACCGCCGGTCGCCAACTCCATCACAATGAAGACACGGGTGGACACTTCGAGGGGTCAAAATATGTGGTGACCAGTTTTCACGTGGTGGAAGAGACCAGGATCATTACTCTCCAGATGTTTGATTGGGATCCGTCCGGTGACATACGGTTGCTGAGAAAACCGTTGCTCACTGGTCGCGTTGTTTACCACGAGCCCTGGTTAGATTTGGCCCTATTGCGAGTCAGTGACCCCAACTCAATGTCACAGCTGACAACACCGGCCGTTATTGCTGATCGACAGGTCAGTGTTGGCGAACGGATAATGGGTTCGGGAAGACTGGACAATACGTATACAGTGAGCGATGGTATAGTGGTATCCCTGGACCGCACTAACCATAGCCGGCCATATCACGGCACGTTCATCGACCAGGACTTTGGTCACGTACAGCATACGAGTCCCCTTTATCCGGGTTTTTCTGGCGGTCCAGTGGTTGACATGAATGGTCACGTGATTGGCATCAATAGTAGCGGTAGTGTAAGGTATGGACAAACTTATGCCGTGGATTCAGTGACAGTCAATGGTTTGTAAATGAATTGTTATTACTTGCAATCAATTGATTGTCATTTGATTTGTATTGTGTTTTGTTTGAAGAGTTTATTACCAGAGGTTTGAAGTTTGATACGGAAGACGTGGTTAAGAGGTATACATTTGATGGAAAGACATCGTTGGGAATTGCGGTCAAGACTTTGACACCAGAGATAATACAATCGGTTTTCAATGACTATAAAATGGATATAAATAGTGGTGTTGTTGTGACCGCAAAAATGTCGACAAATGACCACAAAATAAAGTGATTATAACTTTAAATTTGTAGTCAAATGTTTATCAAATATGTTTTTAATGTGATTTAATAACAGCAATGGTCTCAATGTATTGGATATAATCATTGGTGTGAACGACAGTACCATCTCATCAGTGAATGAATTGATAGATTGTATAAATAAATGTAAACCCGATGTAATGTTAAACATAACAATTTGCCGGTTATTAGATGTCCACAAACACCCCTTTACACAACTTGATGCCCGACCTGGCTCATTTAGATGTTCTGTAATTTAATTTGTATTTTATTAAATTAATTAATAAACTTTTTCTACATTTGTATTTTTATTATTCAAATATTGACCGAAAATTTGAGTAAAATTTGTTATAAAATTAAGTTAACTTGCTCATTAAGTTAACTTGCTCATTAAGTCAAATGCTCATTAAGTTAAATTGCTCATTAAGTTAAATGCTCATTAAGTTAACTTGCTCATTAAGTTAAATTGCTCATTAAGTTAAATTGCTCATTAAGTTAACTTGCTCATTAAGTTAAATTGCTCATTAAGTTAAATTGCTCATTAAGTTAACTTGCTCATAATAATTAAATTCGCATAAAACATAATATCAATGCTTTATTGTTTGCATAAACTTTTTAAATTGAATAAATAATTAAAGTTTTTAATGAAATAAATTATATGTATTTTTACAAACCGTTTTATTTGATCATATTTTGTGAAAAACATGATTTTAATACTTGTTTTGCTGACCATTGATTCCGTTAAGTGTACGCCTGTTTGCGATTACATGTATACGAATGGCATTTATAATGGCATTCAAGTGCACCGCAATTGGGAAATCTTAAAGGGTTGGCCTAATTATGATTACTCGAAACGATATATAATGTACTCGAAGGCTCAGGAGTGGGACTTCACTATAGAGAGGGATATCAATGGCAGTCTACGAGTGGTTACCGAAGAGTCTACGTATAAAAATTTGGTAAAACTAAGCGATAAAATGCCTGTCAATCGATTGTCAGGTCATGTCTGGCACTCACACTACAAATTGGATTCATATGATACTTTCGAGTGTGAAATATATAATGAGGTAATTAATATCATAAATAATAAGTTATATAATTTTATATGTCATTGATTTGTACATTAATTGTTAAGAATGGACACGATGATGACTTGTATGCGCTCACCTGTTATATTCACCATCACAAAAAATACTTTCAATCGAGGGCTAAGTTTAAGGGAAATGGTATTATATTTAGCCAAACGGTTGTAAGCATGGACCCGCAAGTTAGCTATAATATACTGGTAGTGTTGGACAAATATAACAGTGCTGTCCAATTGGTTAAAGTCAATTGGGACGGCAGTAAAGGCTCGTTTACTGTTGATTGTACCGTCAATTGCACTGTACCAACATGTGTAACACAAATACCCAAAAAGTTGTTATCTCAATTGGAAAGCATTACCGATTACGAGGTGAGCACTAGTGTGAAGGGCTATTTGCTATGGTTTAGCATCAGTGGACACCCGAAGTACTGTTTCACACCCGAAGGCAAACCACTCGCACAAAAAGTAATTTGCATTAAACACAAAATGAATAATAATTTATATAAATATTAAATTTTTAGTGCAAGTCATCGGATACTTTGATTGCATATCACGGCGAGTGTGTAAAATCTCCCGAATGGCAGCACTTATATATTCCCATCATTTTGATAGCATTGATAATAATTGTGTCGATTATAGTATTGTTAATAATTAGGGCCCGAAAATACTTTTACCCAATTCCTACCAAAAGCACATTAACCACACAATTGACAGACAATCGGTCCGAATCGGGAACATCGATGAGATCTCCGACTCCATCACAAACCAAACAACTCATACCAAAAGGCAAACGACCGTCAGTTTCGTCCGATACTACTGTTTAGATAATTGTTTTGCATTTCATTATATATTTTATTAGTCTTTTAATAAATATTTATTAAATAAAAGTTTTATTCAAATAGATTTCCTTCTTATTTGAAATGTATTTATTTTTATGAAAAAAATAATTTGTTTCTTACAAAATATAGTTACATATCTCGAACCCTGTTCAAAGTTTATTATCGTTTATAATATTAAAATTAAATGTTTGTCAAATGAATTGGCTGTCATTTGATTTGTATTGACTCAATGTTTTATGTTTTGTTGAAAAGTTTATTGTAATTGAAAAATTAATTTAAATAATCACAAATGTCTGACAGATTGCTATTGAATGCATACAAAATAATATTTAACAAAAAGAGAAAAATTAATATTGATATAACAAATATACATCTAAATAAATGTCAATTTTCTATAAGTAATGAATGAAAGCAATGAAAATTAATGTCAATAGAAAACGAGTTTGAGTGCCGGTATGGAGAGTACGAGTGCAGCCATTTTGGGAGTGTTTCGGAATGTCTTCGGCGTTGGGCTGTCGTGTGGTTCGCGGCTGAGGACTGGTTTTGGGCGCCAATTGGTCGCCGATCCGACAGTTGAGATACGGCTGGCAGTGGTTGTCGTGGATTGGGTTTGAGTTCATTCGGTCGCAGAAGTCGTCCGTCAGTTGAATGTTGGCGTCGTATTGGCATTGCTTTACTCTCAAGTTATACAAGTCTACTGTCCGATCGGTGAACCCGTCCAGAGGTTTACATTGTTGGCCGTACTTTTGAGAGAGAGAGAGAGAGAGAGAGAGAGATAAACGGGTATTACAAGTGATGGAGATAAATACCACGCGATCCTCTTCGCAAAGTTTTTGCAATTCATAACAACACTCCCTGTCGTCGAAAGGGGGCTGCGGTTGTGGGGGCGGCGGCAGCGCCTGCAGTGGCGCCCACTTGAGCTCAAGACAATGATATACAGTTGTTCTAAACAGTTCTCTAATCTGATCGTTGGGACAGTCGACCACTTCCCACGGTCTTGGGATTGACGTCTGGAAGTACTGCCGACGATCTTCGCTGTCATGTCTTTGCGATGAATTACGTTTTGGGATCTCGTGTTTGCCGCCAATCACTGAATCCAAAGCAATGATAATTGTCACCAAAAGGGCTGTTATTGTCGTTGAATTCATGTTATGTTTAAGTGTTTGACTGTCTCTTAACCGGCGATTACTAAACATAGAAATGTGACTTTAATTCTATACTTTTAAATCGTTAATTATAAACACAATTAACGTTTGATTTTAATAACTCATTATTTTATTGAAATGTACTTTGAAATTGAAATCAATGTCAGTTATAATAATATGTTTATTAAATATAATCGCGCTGTGAAAGCAAAAAATTAAATGGAAAATACATTTAATGTACATTTAATGTGATTTTATACACAGCGTTTGTAACATTTGGTGGTTTAAAATCGTACACAAAATAAATATATATTTTAATGCAAACAAAATTATGATCTAATATGAAAATTATAATCAGAATTTAATTCATAAACAATAAAACCAAAATAACACGAAATTAAATACAGTATAAATTGAGAAAAATAGACATTTCATATAATTTTCTACATTTGAATGAATGTAATGAAAGCCAATAGAGAAATGACGACAAAACTCAGCGGAGATATGATTGCGAGAGTATCGGCGCCGCTGTGTTGTGGCTTTGGTTTGGGTTGGGGTAAAGGGCCAGAACCAGAACCTGGTGGCCCGGTATGGGGCACATCACTGGGCGCCTGACTGACAGTGACCACAGTCTCGTGTCCACCGGGACCGCCGGGACTTAGAGTGGGTTTGGTTGGTGTGCACTGTAGATAGCGTTGACACATTGGCATAAATGACATATCATTGGTGTGAAGAGTGCGGCAAAAGTCGTCGCTTACTTCGATGCCCTCATGTTTGCACGTATCTGACTGGTGTACGTAATATTTGGCCACCTCTTCCGCGAACCCGTCCTTTAGTGTGCATTCACTCGTGAACTAAACAATTGTCAAACAAAACTCATTATAAAAACAGTTATATGTGTTGCAAAAAAACCAAGTGTCTCACGAATTTATCCATTGAGCACACTTTTTCTACCATGAAACAACACTCTCGATGATCACGTCGCGCTGATGCCCCGATCGGCAATGGTTTCCATTTCTCCACAATACACTTATTGGTAATATCTTTGAAATCGTTGATAACCTTCATGTTGTCGGTGCACTCAATAAAGTCTTCGGGTCGTGGTTTAGCCGACGCTTGGAAATTCATTTTCCCGTCCCTCCCATCCCTATCCCCACCACTCGATGGCACCGACTGTTTGGCGGCGAATGACTTGATGTGTCGCCCCTTCGCTGTCTCTCCAGCGATGGTCTGTCCAGAAGTGTTGTGTTGTTTACCGCCAATCACTCGATCCGTTCCCATCATAA